GAGGAAACTCTGGCTTAATAAACCAGAGGAAATCCAGTGTACTAGATTTCCCATTCCACAAGGGTTGCAAGTTGAGATGTTGAGTTTATAAACAGAGAATTTTACAGTTGATTGTTAAGATGTAGTGGCTTTACTTCTGGGAGCTGTCTGGTTCTGGGACTGACCGGTCTAGCTCTGTTATTAGTATCTAGGTTCCCACACTTCACTGAAGTGGAAGTCGCTCTTCATTCTCTTAGCTGTGTGAAGGACGGATTATGTGGCACATCAATTATTTTTTTATAATGGAGAGTACTGTAAACCCCTTCCATTATAGCATGGGCTATGTTTCTCCATGCTCCTTGTTCATTGCAAGGTCTGCTTGGAATTAGCAGTCCAGCAGGGAGGGGAGCACTGGTTAGTATTCTGTATAATAGTGCTGAGTCTCTTTTTTTCTTTCTCTTTGCGAATGTTGCATTTGTAACTATGGGGTATTTCTCCTTAGCTGCTGGTTCCCATGTCAGTATCCTGCCTGCAGCTGGGATCTATGCTATGCACCCTTCTTCTGATTCTGCTCAGACAGTGGAAAAGGTAGGTATCTTGTTTGGACAGCTCTTTGCTAGGCAAGTTCATAATCACCTTATGAGATGTCCAGGTGAGTTGCTATAGCCAGAATTTCCTTGATGATTTGGGAAGAAAAGGGGATACCTTACTGTGTAAACCTGTGGAATGACAGACTTCTTCACCTTGAAGGTAATATTGATAATGTCTACAGCTAAACTCTATTGCAAAACAATACTTTAATGTCTTGAGTTCTTTCTTATTGGAGAGATGGAACAAGGACACTTGAATCACTGTAAGAGCGTGTAGTCTCACCCTATTTGCAGTACAAATTCCTGGAGCGGGGGGAGTCTTTGAGGAGATCCTGGGGTAACTTAAATGGAGTGTCTCTTGTGCTGAAAAAGCGCAAACTGTATCTGAAAACTTCACAGGCATGCTTCACACAAATTAGTGACAACCAAAATGTTAAGCAAGGAATTTTGTCTAATCTGAAGAGCTCTCCCTTTTTTGTTGGCAGTGAATTGAATTCTGTGGATAAAATCATAAACTCCTTGACGCAGATTTTGGAGGGAGTATTGCAGGCGGATCAGCAGATGATGGAGAAGACCAAGGCCAGAGTGTTCTCTGCTCTCATCACTGTCCTGCAGATGAAAGAGATGAAAGGTGAGCTGACCCAGGAAAGGTTATTGAGATCAGAGTTGTCACCTATGAAAGCATTTGTGTCCTGCTCTATCTTTTCAAAATCAGAAATATTCAGTTAGTGTGAGCTGCTCTTTTAGTTTCTCATTCATTTTTTTTATAGTGTTAGTACGCAAGGGCTTCAGTGAGGGTCAGACTCCTATTTTGCCAAGGCATTGTATAGTGATGAATTATAGGCAAATCCCTGGTTCAAAAAGCTTGGCAATCTACCATTTGATCTTTTGTATGGACTTTGGCCCCATGATGGGAATACTGGAAAGCCCATCTCCTTGCACAAGTTTTTGGGAGGCATTCACATTGAATGGGAAAGTCTTAACACTCACACTTGATGAAAGCTTGCAATCAGCTAGAAATGTGTGGAAGAAGGGTCAGTTTATTCTAAGGTTTGAATATGTTTATGATGCAAAATTAATATTTTGAGGACTGCCAGAACAGGAATTAGGTGTCTGCTGGATACAGGAATTGCCATATTCTCGGGTCCCTTGGATTTAGTATTATCTCTAGCAGTGGAAGGTACTAGCTGCTTCAGAAAAACACGCAGGAATCCCAGCAGTAGGTAGCTGCTGCCGCTGTCAGCATCTGCGTTGTGCTTTGAAGCATAAGAGGTTTTTGTACACCTTTATAAATAAAAACACCCTATCTTTCCTAATATGAGTATCCTCTACTCCCTCATGGAATCCTCCTAAGCTTGTGGCTAATTGTGTAGGTCCCTCTGGAGTATCTTACAGTTTTGTAGATTTTTAAATGAAAACTGAATAACCTATTGACTCTAGAAAGTGTGGCACCTGGACTTGTAACTAGTGTACCAGTTAAATTGGAAACTTAAATCTTAGGATGATGTAGTGAATCAGTCTGCTCTGTATGTGTCCCACAGTGAGTGAGATCCCACAGTACTCCCAGTTGGTGATGAGTGTGTGTGAGACAATCCAGGATGAAGTAATTGCGTTGTTTGATCAGACGAGGCACAACTTGACTTCTGGAGACTCAGCAGATGACAAGGACAGTATGGAAACAGATGATGTCTCCCGAGTTAAACACAAGGACCAGCGAGATGGGGTAAGAGGATTGTTTAGTTGCTCTGTAGCCATGTTTTTGCTATGCAAACAAAACCGCGTGCTATGCATCATGACATGCCCTATCCGTACCAGTTGTTATGTAGTAGAAAATGGGGTGAATTTATTCTCCTCCTCTACCACCATTACTTGGAAGATGCTTTTTGGAAGTCTGGTTCTTTTGTTGTATGAGCATGTTGGAACATTTTGTTCTGGGTCTCTGAAAGCACACACTACTTGGGAAACTAAGGCATGAACAGATTAAGTGACTTTCCTAAGGTTACAAAAGGAAGTCTGTGACAGAGCTGGGACTTGAACCCACATCTCCCAACTGCTGATTTTCTCCAGTGTGCAGATTGTCCTTGGCTGTGAGTAC